TGATGAACATTTTAACCTTCAAGTTTTATATGAGGAATGTGTTCTTAATCAGGTAGAGAGGATTCTTGGTGATCAAACTAATTTCTTGTATTTACAATATGAACTACTTCCCTCTGGTAGAAGATATAGAATCCCAATGTGTAAGTTAAATCGATATAAGAATTCCTTTGTACCTGTATCGGTGCGGTTGTACAACAAGAGTTCATCTTGATTTTATTTTCATGATTTTATTTAATTTAGTTTTTTATGTTAATTGTATGTCTGCAGCAACATCTGCTCTTGAGGACAATAAAGTATACTACTAATATGCAAAAAATAAAAAAAAACAGGAAGGGGGCAAAAACCTTTTCACAGCACTGTATATCCATTTAAATGTCCTCATCTTTTGCTTGACCCAGTCACGTCCTTCAATACAGCAGAATGAACACAGAAGTCTGTGTCTCACAAGCCACAGAGAACAAAACATGAAGATGAGGTGCATTTTAGCCTTTTGGTTCTGCAAATGTTTTAAATCCATTCATCATTGTTTATATGATAGACAAATCATGGACCACAGAATGCAGTGCCAGTATAGGCGTTAGTAATTTATTGATCTAGCTTAGGTTTTCAAAAGTAAATAATTTACCATTCAACCTGACAGAACTGGAGAGGATCTGCAAGGAGGAATGGCAGAGGATCCCCAAATCCAGGTGTGAAAAACTTGTTGCATCTTTCCCAAAAAGACTCATGGCTGTATTAGATCAAAAGGGTGCTTCTACTAAAAACTGAGCAAAGGGTCTGAATACTTAGGACCATGTGATATTTCAGTTTTTCTTTTTTAATAAATCTGCAAAAATGTCAACAATTCTGTGTTTTTTTGTCAATATGGGGTGCTGTGTGTACATTAATGAGGAAAAAAAATTAACTTAAATGATTTTAGCAAATGGCTGCAATATAACAAAGAGTGAAAAATTGAAGGGGGTCTGAATACTTTCCGTACCCACTGTACATATGGATGTAGTAGTAATTATCACAGTGACAACCTGAAGTTTTATCATAAATTATGACATTTATAAAAGTTATCAAAATGTAAAAAAAGAAAAAAAAATTCTTATATAATATACTAAATAGGAAGGCTGTCAAGTTCAGTTCACTTTCCTTGGCTTATTACAACCCTGGTTCCCTTGCATACTAAACTAAAATTACACTGCTAGACGGTCCCTGGTGCCCCCTCAAAACATTAAGAGCATGTTAATCTGTACTATAGTAGGAGGTTAGAGTGAAGATTGTGAAATTCTGTGGTCTCCCTTTCAATAATGCTTTTACGGAAAGCAGAACCTCTGAAAGAAGAATGAGAAAGAAAAAAAAACAGACTCCATGTTCTTATAACCCTCCATGTTTCAAAAGAAAATGCATTTTTAAAAATGTTACCAGTACTGTTTTATTTCCATTTCCTCTATGTCATCGAATACACAACAACAAAAACAATGAGTTAGCAAAATTTCATTCAAGATGAAAGACATTCTGTTCACAGGAACAGATCGTGTCAATAAACAGTCATTTCAGAATGGTGGCAAGCAATGAAGGTGATGGTAATGTTCATTTTATTTGTATCAGAGTGAATCTCTGAAGTGTTTGACCAGCGGAAGTAAGATTTTATTTTTTTTGACTTGTGATCTAGATTGTGGGTGGGTGCATGGCCAGGAAGTTCATCATTCAGAACGTCTGTGTTCGTGTGCAGATGTGTCAAACACACTGAGCACATCAACATGTTTTTAAAATGGACTACAAACTGTCTTTTATTTTTGACTTTAATTTATCTTCCACATACAGGTAAGAGACTTCAATTCTGTTTGCTTCTCCCTTTTATTTCAAGCAAAGAAGTTTCATCTAGGCTAAGGTCTCATTTGTGACTTAAACTGACTAATTACAATGATGGGTAATACATCTTATATGTGGCAGATTTTCTGTAATTCCTTCCACAACAGAAGTGATATGTGTACTGTGCTATGCTGTTGGCTACACTGAATTTGTCTCAATTCACAGGCGGAAGGAATGTTTCCACAGTAATCAAAGGAGAAACTGTGCATCTGCCCTGCCAGTCACCTAAAGACAGTGATCAATTTAATGTAGAGTGGACAAAATATAGTACAAATAGTACCACTATTTGTAAATGGATGATTAATAAAGATACTGTATCTCCCATCAGTGAATGCGCTCCTCGTTTTACATTAACCAGAGAGCCTTTAAAAATACAAATAAAAGACGTTCAGCCCAGTGACTCTGGTTATCACAGCTGTAAAACGACAAGAATAATTCCACCACCATCATTGGACTACTTCACAAATATGACACTCCAAGTTGTAGGTGAGTGCCATTCATACATTTTTTTGAACTGTCCTTTTGTTGTAGACCATTTGACCTAGATGTCAATAATTAACAATTTCAATAACAGTAATTAACAATAACAATTTTTCACAGTAGTTGTTCCACATCTGCAGAAATTGAACAGCAGTAATGACACCTGTCTCCATCTGCTCTGCTCTGTGGAGGGTCTGACAACTGAGGTGAACTTCACCTGGAGCCAGGGTGAAAGGTCACTTCATCCATTCACATCTTATTACATGAACAGCGAGCTGCGTCTGTGTAAACCTGACTGGCGTGAAGGAGAGACAATCACCTGTTATGCCAGATACTCAAGTACACAAACCCATAGAAGTATAAAAGTCACCTCAGAGACACCTTCTGACAAAGGTGGGTCATTTTATCTACCTATTACTTTAACCAGGACAATCTAGAGCATGATATTTAATTTAATGCAACACTATGAATGACAATTCAGCAAACTTACACTAACCTAATTGCTTCCAGCCCACCAAACTGCTAGTTGAAAAAAATCACACGCATACCTGTTTAAATGTTAGAAATATAGAGCAGTTTGATTAAATAATGGGCTTCGACTTTAACCAGACTAAAACAAATGTGATGTGAAGGATCATATACAGTATGTGCGTATGTATGCCTGTGTACCTCCAAATAATTAATAACAAAATGTTTTTAATATTCTTAAGCAATTCTGTCAATTAATCTTTGGTTATTACTAAAAACTAAACAAATACAAAGCAAAAATGCGAATACATTAATATTAGTACATACATTAGAAATAGCGTTCCAAGTTACAGTAGGAGAGTCACTGTGATGGTCTCTAGCAGACTGCTTGGTTCAATCAGGAGAGGTTTTCCTTTAGTCTGATGTTTATGATCTGATCGTACCCTGTTTGTGACCATTACAGCTGTTGACAGTGTGCCGTTCCAGCTGCTGATCATCTCATGCAGTGCTGCTGCAGGCCTCATCTTCTGCAGCATCCTCACGGTTGTTATTTGCAAATGTGAGTATGATTATATTTGACTCTTTAACAATTATTACTACTCAGATTACTTCAATTTATAGAAACTACAGGGGGAAAATAATATCAAATATCAAAACTGCGTGTATATAAAGGTGTTTTTTAAAATAAAGTTATGAAGTTTTTTTTCTGTCGTATGTTTCACAATAATCCAACAAGTTAAGAAAGGATTTGACCGTTTAAAAAAAGAAGGCAAGAATTTGATGGAAATAATGACTGTTTCCCTCCCTCTGTTCAAACACCTCTCTGTCTCAACACATCAGCATCCTTCTATATGTCTATTTCTGCTTTCTGTCACCAAGATGTCAAAATCTTACAAACAGCATTTTTATATATTTTTAGGACAATATCTGAAAAGGTGCATGAACATGTCTGTTTGTAGCATATGGTGAACCAAAAACTAAAAAAGCTAAAAGATGGTAGGACGGTTTGCTAGTCCTCCTAACTGAGTCTTCCTGGTCTCCCAGCCTGACCAGCTAGAAAAAAAATACAAAATAAAAAAACCTCTAAAACCAGCTAGCAGGACAGGTTAAAACCAGCTTGATGAGGTTGGAAGACCTGTTTAATCCAGTTAAAAACAACAAGCTGGCTGGATTTATGTCTTTCAGCAGGGAATATGGCTAAAACCAAGTTACCACAGTTTAACAAAACAGACAGCAATACCTCTAGTAGCCATTTACATGGGGAAGGCAAACAAGAATGTCTTGAGGTTGTTGTATTCGTCTACTGATGTATTAATAGTTCTCACGGATCATTAAAAACTCGATATAGAGTCCGCCAGACCTCACCATTCGATATATATTGAAAACCTATTTTTATAGACCTCCACTCGATGGAGACAAAGCGAACGCCTATTAGTTCCCTGCTGAAAACAAAAACGACAACAACTGAAACTGGCCTCAGCTGGTTGGCTGGTTTTAGCTTGTCTTCAGGGCCGATCATAGCTGATTAGCAGGCTAGTTTTTGAGGGGCTTTGACCACCTCTTTAGTTGGTCAGGCTATTTTAAGCTTGTCAGGCTTGGAGACCAGTAGGTAAAACCAACTGAACACCAGCATGGCCAGGCTGGGAGATCATCTTGACCAGTTTAAACCAGCTGAGGCCAGTCAACCAGCACAGGAAATTTCCACCAAAATATAAGTTACTGCAGTAAACTAAAATTATTGTCAAAACAAGATATTTTGCACTGTTTAAAAAGAGACAGAGCAGGTAATTTTATATAATTTTACAGTTGAGGCAATTATTTCAGTTTATTTCAATATGTTAAAATAAAAATAAAAATTTATCTGTGAAAAGACTGTTATGTTTCTCGTCTGTGTTCGTTGTATTTGTATGTCTAACATGGTGTCTTGTTTAATTTTGTAGGCAGAAAGCAAGACGAACATGGATCTGTAGTGTTCAGCAATAAAGTCTATGAGAACTTCAGTTTCGCCATGGGCCGTCAGAACATGCAGTCCAATGACAAACCACAGCCAGAAGAGTGTATTTATGAGAACTAACTGCTGCTGCTGCTGCTTACATAACCTTTGCTTTAAAGCCAGATCGGCCCAGTTGTTACGAAGGCAGTACTTAGTCTTTTGCTAAGATATATTTGATGGTGCACTGCGAATGTGAAGCAAACGGTCACTGCATTGTTTACAAACAATATTTTTTCTAGTAACTGTTTTTATTTTTTTTAGCACTGTAGGTGCACTGAACTGTTATGTCTGTTAAATTAATTTAAATTATGATAATAAGCAGGGACCTTATATCCGTTTTCTCAGATACAATGCAAAGGCATTATTAAAGTCTCTCTTAGCACTTTTTGTTGTAAGACTTTTGTTTTTGATATGGTATTTAGACTGTCTATATTGCAATATGTCATTACTTGTAAATAAATAATACATTATAAGTATTTTGTGTCAAAGCTTCTTTGCAGAAAATTATTTCACACTATTTCACTATATTTTATGCTCTGATCAAATTTGGGTTGCAATGAAAAATGCAAAAATCATTTTAGTTCACATAGTTTGAGCAAAGTTATCTTCTAATTTGAGTACATGATGGTTTATTTAGTGAAAATATATATATTTAGAAACTTTGCTCCTTTTAGCACAGGGTGCCTCACAGATCTGAAACTAAATTTCTCTAATTTGTCTCGATGGGAATTTAGATTGTGTTCGTTTTAATTTTTTTTTCAATGTTTGTCAGGTACAGTATGTATGAGTCAGTCATTTGTTAGAATATTTCTATTAATTTCCTCTTTGAAAAAATGTATAATAAATACAAAAAGGAATTTGATGGGATCCAGATGACGTGTTAATGTCGACTGTTCATAATCAATGCTTTACTTAGAGGAAATCACAACCTCAGCCAATTTCACAGCATGAGACACTTTGAAATGCAGAACACAGTGATGCACAACACTTTTGAGAGATGGTGAGTGTGTGATTCTTATGAAGATATTTAAAAACTATTATAGATAAATATGAATATGAGGCAACTTGAAAGCATGTTTAGATCTTTTGCTGTAGTTGTTATATTAAAACATTGAAATTAGTAGATATTCATATCACTCTGCAAAAAAGTACAGAAAGGGATAGTTCAGCCAAAAACACAAATTCTATCATAATTTACTCACCCTCATGTTGTTACAAACCTGTATGTCTTTTCTCTTTTTTCTTTCTTTTTCGCAGGTATTTTTCTTTGATCTGTTGTGGATACTTTTAGTCAAGTCAAGTCAAGTCACCTTTACTTATATAGCGCTTTATATAATACAGATTGTGTCAAAGCAGCTTTACAGTGTTAAACAGGACAAATGTGTGCTGATAATGCAAGAGGACAATAGAAAACAGTCTGTTTATCAGTTAAAGTCATTGTCCAGCTCAGTTCAGTTCTCTTCCAATAGTGTCTGTGCAGTCAAGTCAACGATGTTGCCAGAAATTGTGTCCCTGACTAAGCAAGCCAAAGGCGACAGCGGCAAGGAACCAAAATCCATCAGTGACAGAAATGGAGGAAAAAACCTTGGGAGAAACCAGGCTCAGTCGGGGGGCCCAGTTCTCCTCTGGCCAGACAAAACCAGCATGGTGTGGTTCAATTCTGCAGCGCTCGTCAGATTGAACAGAGGACTCGTCTGGTTCTTGTGATCTTGTGCTGATGGCTAACGAGGTCTTCGCAAGTGGATCTGTCTCTAGGGTTTGTCTAGTTGACATGGTCTCCGCTGACATTCAGTGCTGTAGAGGTCATCTCTAGGTGCTGATCCACCATCTGGACTGGATACGGACTGGATCCAGGTGACTGCAGTGACCATCTGGTCTGGAAACAGGATAGATCTGGGTGACTACAGTGACCTCGGAATAAGATTGAAACAGACTAATAATAGCGTAGATGCCATTCTCCTTACGATGTAACGAGTACATTGGGTGTTATGGGAAGTGTTCCCGGTTCCGGTTGGCCTAATTAATGCAGCCTAACAATTCTTTAACGGATTTGAATTATAGAAATGTGATAGTTTGATATGTGTATGCCAGGTTAAAGAGATGGGTCTTTAATCTAGATTTAAACTGACAGAGTGTGTCTGCCTCCTGAACAATGCTAGGTAGGTTGTTTCAAATTTTGGGCACTAAATAGGAAAAAGATCTGGCGCCCAGCAGTTGATTTTGATATTATCAATTGTCTTCAGCTTTCAGTAAAAAAAAGATAAATTTATGAATAATATGACATATATCTTCTTACTAATTGTGCAATTTATAACTTGGCAAGAGAAATTCAAGCTTTGTTTTCAGTGTTTGGCAATACGACAGTGAATCGCTTGACCGCGCATCGTTTCAAGGGGCCGTTTTGCACAGAATGCATTTTTGTGTTCCACTATGCTGCTTTCTATTGCTTAGATGTCTCGCTTGAGTCTTTTGGAGATCAGCGCGCACGACACAGCATTCTAAAAACACTGTAAGTTAGAGTTTAACTCTATATGTTGTGTCTCTATACATTTATTGTTATTATTATTATTATTATTATGCACACTCTTGCTTTTTTAAAAGTAAAAACAAATTTTTTGTGAATGGAAACCAAGGCTGTGTCCGAATCTACTACGTAGAGGGAGAATAACAGAAATAGAGGAGGAAATAGGGAGGTGGAGGGATGCCGGAAGAATTGTTGCTGGGACGTCACAATGAGTGCAGCTTATACAGTGGGGAAAAAAAGTATTTAGTCAGCCACCAATTGTGCAAGTTCTCCCACGCCTTTGCATGTTTACCAATGACCTACATCAACCTTTGGTGCATCACCTGCCTCAACACATCTTTACAACCTCCCACACGGTGTGGTTAAAATAACCAGACCACTTCATCACTTCTTAAGTTCAGCTGCACAATCAGAGCATGAAGATGTTGCTCTACAAGAGATGTTTTGGTGGAGAATAGCAAATGAGGTCTACAGGACATTTGTTGAACCATTTGTTTCAGAGCATTACTACGCTGTACATCTGTTATACTGGTACAATCCAATCAAAAAAATCAATACTTTCCCGCCTGATGAAAATCGTATGTGTGTTAATTTTGGTAAATATAGAGATTAGCAATACTTCATTAATGTGTTTTACAGTAATGTAATTTAAGAATCACTTCATCACTTCTTAAGTTCAGCTGCACAATCAGAGCATGAAGATGTTGCTCTACAAGAGATGTTTTGGTGGAGAATAGCAAATGAGGTCTACAGGACATTTGTTGAACCATTTGTTTCAGAGCATTACTACGCTGTACATCTGTTATACTGGTACAATCCAATCAAAAAATCAATACTTTCCCGCCTGACGAAAATCGTATGTGTGTTAATTTTGGTAAATATAGAGATTAGCAATACTTCATTAATGTGTTTTACAGTAATGTAATTTAAGAAGTGTATTTTGTAGAAGCATTTGGACTAATAAGATTGAAATTGTAATTAATTTACAGATAAATTGTATGGATTTTCTTCTAAATAAATAAAAAGTCAAACCAAAATGTCACACTACACTGCCTTTAGGACCTGGTGAACTCTCTACTGTCAAACCAAACTGTCACTATATTACACTATCTCTAGGCCCGGATCAACTTTCTTCTATCCTGCGTATGTGCTAGTTGTTTACACAAGTTACTCATGGTGCGTCATAGGCCTGAAGCTAAATGTCCCAGTCCTGCACGCCTAGTGTTTGTGGTTGACAAGTACATAGATGTGATGCAACTCTTTTACATCATTTTCCAGCTAACATGCAACTGTAGAGTCAAAAATTAAAAATGAAATAATGTATACCTTATCATATTACTGTCTTCGTGGTTGAAAATGGATTAAACAATCCTGGGTGTAAGATTTTGTTTGGTTCTTCTTATTTGTTTTGTTTAACTTTTGTTTAGTACAGAATCAGTCCTTCATTGCTAGAATGTTTTAGTCATTTCCTCTTTTTAAACTGTGTGACGAAATATACAAGGAATTTGATGGGATTCAGATGATGTGTTACTGTCGACTGATGATAACTGATGCTTTACTTAAAGAGGAAATCACCGCCTCAAACTAGTTTCACAGCATGAGACACTTCAGCAAAACATTGTGAGGCAGAAGCCACACACAGCACTTTCCCTGGAAAGAGAGATGGTGAGTGTGTGATTCTTATGAAGATATTTGAACACTATTTTACATGTATGTAAATATAATGCGTTTACTAAGTCGAAAACATGTTTAATATTTTTTTCGCTTTTGTCATTATGTCAGAAAAACTGCAGCTATTACTGTATGCAAAAAGTAAATTAAATTAACTAATAAACGAAAAGTTTCTTAATTCTTAATTAACAATACAAAATATGCAGCCCTGAATCTTATTACTTAAGAACTTGTTTAAAATTTTATATTTCATATGACATTTCTGTTTAATGTGTAAAGTGTTTTTTTTTTGTTTTTTGCAGTGTTTCCCTCTGTTCTTTTGTGGGTGGATGCTGTTTTCAGTTTTTGGTAATAAAATTGTCTTCTATCTTTTGTTGACATGCTAATATGCTTCACTCTTCACTTTCTGAACATTATAAATACATGAAATTTCCTCTAACATTAAAATGTTACAATGATACATCAAGTACTTGTCGAATCTATCAGAAAAAATTTTTTTGCCCCGGCAAATTACACAGGAAGCACCTGCACAAAGAGAACCTAAATGTTGCAATTCACAGCTTGGCATGAGAAATTCAATTTGTTGCTGGTCTTTGTTTTTTTAGCTTTTGGCGATGCAGCAGTGAATCACACTACAACTTTATTTGTCAATCATGGACAGCCTGCCATAATCAGATGCAACTACAGCCGAACAAATGACACAGAAAGCATGACAGCAGTTCTGCAAACATTAAATCTTGCACTGTGTTCATATTACTTCTATGACAATACATGGAAAAAACTAGGTTGTAAAGATCCTGTCAGATTCACATGGATTCCAGAGACTAAGGAAATAACATTTGAACTCTTAAATCTCCAAATTCAGGATACCGGCACATACACCTGTACTGTGAAGAGGATTGTAAAACCACCTCAAGTGGATCTCGGAGTTCAAAGAGTTCAAGTTATTGGTAAATCATTACTTAATAATCAGAAGAAGAAAAAAACGATAGATTACCGATAGAGATAGATCTGAATGATAAGTATTGTATTTTGTGCATTAATTCTGCCTCTCAGTGCGTCCCATCTTGTCGCTGTCCTGTGTGAAGAGGCCTGATGGATCTCCCATGATTCTGTGCTCTGTGGAATTTTACCCTGAGTCTCTTAAACAGTTGTGGATCAGAGATGGAGACGTCCTCAACAGCTCATACTCAAACAAATCATTCAATGGATCCTTCAGTCAGCAATCATACCTTAAATTGCCACCA